GCACTGGTGCTCCACGAGTTGGGGGGGGGGGGGAATCTTTCAAGTATCTGAATGCTGCATTTTGTCCATACTCTCCTAGCACTGGATTAGCTTTCAGAATTTTTTTTATTTCCCCCAAAAAAACTTATTGGGGGGGTCAGCTGGGGCTTATCTAATTTTTATTTCCTTTGATGTGATCGATTTCCTGGGATCAACTGGAGATTTTTGCCTAATTTGCTGCTCTTGCCAGTCTTAAGATACTGGTGAATTCTCTTCTGCTCTCTCCTCCTGGCACATCGTTAATACAAAAAAGTACAAGCTGCCAAAGCTAAAAGCTTCTACGTTTGTTATAAGGTTTTAGAAAAAGTCTTCTGGCTTGTGGTGTAGATAGAGTGGACATTCTGTGGCATCCGTATCAAACATGGATCATGCAGTCAATAGAATGGAAAGAGGTTAGACTCTGTAAGCAACTTTTTCCCTTATCCTCTTGTCATCCTAAGCACCAAGGAAAAAGGAAGAAGATAAAATGTCTGTATATATGTGACTAGAGAAGCTAGTTCTCTTCCCAAACCTCTGAAACAATTCCACAAAAGGATGATCAGTATCTTATCCTCTTGTCATCCTAAGCACCAAGGAAAAAGGAAGAAGATAAAATGTCTCTGTATATGTGACTAGAGAAGCTAGTTCTCTTCCCAAACCTCTGAAACAATTCCACAAAAGGACCTGATCAGTATTAATACTTTTCACTTCTTCACACTTCCTGCTTGCTAACACGTTTTTAGTTGGGATTATTAATTCATGGAAGTCACTGAAAGAGCATTTGAAGAGACACAGAACAATTCAGGAAAGAGGCAGGGGAAGAGATCTCCTGCCCTTATTTTTCCTTTAACTGTTAAAATAATTCCTTATTGATCCCTGCTTTAAAGCAAGTCAATTTGTTAACGGTTAATATTATTTACTTCTTAAAAAAGGCAAAACTAAAAAAACCCACAGCTTCTCTACTGAAGGTCAAATGGCACTTAGCAGAACTGAAACTGGCTGGCTGTGAAACTGTACAGCATGCACACACTGCAGAAAACGGAAAAAATAATTAAAAAATGATGTCTGTTATATCCAGGTATTGCAGTCTGGACTGACATTTCATGGGCCATCTATGGCCTGATCTGCTCAGCATGGTCCTTGGGCTGTACTTCAGTATTCAAGAGATGCCCGCTTTGGAAGGATGAACGGACGGTTCGATTCATTAATGGCTGAAGAGGGCGAAAGTTGTCTACCATTCTCTTTTCTTCTTCACCATCTGAAGTAAAGAGCAGCATCCGAAATGCCTCCAGCTGAGAATGAGAAATGTCCAATTTTGTGACTTTACTAACTGGAGAATTATTGGAGTTCACGACAAAACACAGTAATTCATGCTTGGAAAAAAAGTCAAAGGTACTATTACATTTGCATTCTGAGAAATTTTAGCATGAACTTCTGGCACTTTTGTGACCTGCTGGTAAAGATTACGCCATCATCCATATCAATGCAGAAGATGAATTGTCAGTCACCTGCCATCTTTTGGCAAACTAAATCTCAAATGTGGCATGTCTGAGATGGAAGCGATTCCCATTCAAATACGGGAACATATGCCATCTTTAAATAAACCTCTCCAACCTTCTTAATCTACACCCTTCCTGGAGTTCTGTTATCTTTTACAGACACGCATATGCTGGCACCCAGAAAAGAGGGAACCTCAACTAGCCACAATCTACATAGTTGCTGTTCTCAGTGGTTTATAACTGGGGATTAAAATAAAGTACGCAGCAGATCAGCTTTTAATGCTCACAAGGGCATTACAATGTCAAGTAAACTATAAGCCTTTCTATGCCACAAAAGGATGAGAGTGAAGAAGAGCCAAGGGGAGGGGGGAGAGAGAAAAAGTTTCACCTGAAAAGAAGAATGGCACACTATGCATTCAGTTCTCTCTGCTCTGTTAACAATCTCCAGTTCGTCCTGTCCTGTTCCTTTATGTAAACTAAAACATTAAGATCACGTACATGCCTATTCTTCAGGGTTAGCGTTTGTTTGGAGCATGGTTTTCTAGATGGACTAGCTCCATGCAAAAGTTGTATTAAAAAAAAAATTTCAGTATTTTGCCTCATGTCATTGGACTCATGCTTCATTATTAATCAAAGCCTCAAAAAACAGGGACAACGCACAGATAACTTTCAGTGCCATGAAAAAATGATAGATTTTTTGGGGTTGTTCATTTTTACTTGCTTTGCAACAATCTCCAAGACTTGTTCTATGCTGTAATGCCCCTCAAAGTACTCCACTTCTTTGAACAGACAAAAAAAATCCTGAAAACTTCCAACAAAACCCACAATTGTAGTACAATTCCAATTCCAACTCCTTCTGACCGTTTTCTACTTGTCCCTACACCTACCGAGGAATAACATCACATTGAAACATGAAGTACTAAAATAAAAGCAGCAGAGGGCATATGGTGACAAGTTTGGGTTGGTATCAGAACAGACTATTGACCACGAACTCCTCCACTTGAAATAATTTCTGTAACATAAACATTTGCTGAAACCTTTGTCTGTCCTTTTTAAAGGGCAATTAAAAAAAAAAAAAAAAAAGGAATTCAAGGACAGTACAGCCAAATATAGAGTAAACATGCCTACACAGGCAAAGGAGAAAACCCAGTGGGGACTCTCTCTCTTTCTCGCCATCAGAATGGCACGTGAAGGACTCAGAGCCACCCATCACCCCTTCTGTACCTTCAGAGTCTGACCAAGGGAAGAACAGAGGATAGGCCCTTGCAATCTCTGTAAGATTTCTGTGCAAATGCACGTGGCTATCAAGAATATGCACAAAAGGTCAGAGTTTGGAATTTCACAAAACCTGCCTTTTCTCCTCCCTCCCTACCACAAAAAGGGCTGCATCCTGGTAAGAAGAGCAAAATTATGCAGTGTTCCAATAAATAACCTTAGAAGTTTTCAAGGGGCAGCTTCCAGCATAAGGCATTGTTTATCACAGATCAAGATAAAACTCTATGGGAGAGCTGGAGAAGCATCTTTAACTGCTTACTGAAGAGGTCAAGTCTTTCAATATTAGCTGTTGTTAACTTCAGGATACCTGCCCAAACAAATACTGGGTGTCAAGCAGCCACTGATCTCTGTGTATTCACAGAGAATTACTGGTACCGGTAAGCAACTACTGTGTGTCTCCCCCTCCATGGCAGCAGGCAGTCAAACAGGTACGGTATGATTCGAAACGTAAGCATGAGATTTACCTGATTCTCATCAACCTCTATTGGCTTCTTCTTAATAATCCATGTGACTGATTCGGTAAGTGGGGGAGTAGTCAAAGAGCCCGCGTAGGTCCAATAATCAGGGCATGAAGGTATCAAACAGGAGGGATCAAAGACATCAAACTCGATAACAGTGTCCTAAACCCCAGAAAGAATGTATTTTAAAAATTGTATTTTGAGAAAAAATTGACAGATTTGAAAAGATCTTAACAATGAGATAAAATACTGTACATGGTATGTATGCATATGCAAAATTAGGTATTGTGACTATTAATAATGACCTACATAAAATAATAATTTAAAACCCCATAAACTTGTACAAAATTGGTAAGCTGGGTTTGAGGCATAAGAGGCAGCTAGTGAGTAGACAAAATTTAAATATTCCTGCTGTCCCCACAAGCCCTTAGGAATTCGGTGCAGAAGAAACAAGGAGTGCGAAGGAGCAACTATGTCTTTGTGGGAGCTAGAAGCAAACAGGAAAAAGAAAGAATAAGTGGTGGAATAAGTTCAGGTAATTCTGCCAGATATACTTAATAGACTGCAAACAATAGCACTTTTACTTTTCACCACGTGATTTTAGGCAGCGGGGAGAGGGAAGAGGACTAAGTATTCATGTCCCCAGAATGTGCACTCTCAAGTGAGATACCAGACAGCATGTAGGAGCTTCAGAGCCCATGATTTCCTATAAAAACATTTTACTCCTGGGGTATTTCCAGGATATACTGGCAATGCAGGAAAGGAAGATCCTGTTTTTCCTTAGGCTTTATCTGTTCCCCACTGAGAATGAGAAATGTTACAGTAAAGAATTTTTCAAAAATAGGAAGTTGGACAAGAGATTCTAGATGGGAGCTTTCACCCATCATGTGAGAGAGGAAGGTGCAAGGACATCAGAATGGGTATTATCGGACCTTCCTCCTCCTCCTCACCAGGGTGATGTTTCTCAGGGTTTGGTGCTTAAGTCAGTGGTAACGCTGGCAAGGCAACAAAGGTTTTAAACCAAGTGCTGATGAGTTGCTGGGTGACCAACACCCTTTGGAAATGAGATCCCTTTCAGAGCAGCCCACATGCAGCTTGATGAGCCTAATGTTTGATACTACTTTTTTTTTTTTTTAAAGATCTTGACTTTAGTTTATTTCAAATTCATATGCCGTAAAATATCATATTTTCATAATGGATGTATAGACACAGATTTTTGTAGGTCTTTTTGACACAGATTTTTGTAGGTCTTTTTGGCACTCAACTGACTTGTTTGGCATTTATGTGGCAGTGTTTTCACTGCACTGCCGTAAATATTTTATTTGGATAAAAAAAAAAATCCTTACTGCAATAAATAACGGCACAGCGACTTCAACTGGATGTGCTTACAAGCCAACAAAATTCTTGATGTGTATTTTTTGTGTGTACTTTCAAAAAGGAACAAGCATCTGGAGGAGCATGAGCTGCTTCTGAGCACTATCAGAGACGCAGCACTCCCTCTCCTGGCAGAAGTCAGAGATCAGCTATGAAGAAAGAGTCCCATTCCCCTAGCAGAAAATTTACAGTGTTGAAAAAAAAAAAAAAAGGGCAAAAAATAATCTCCTCAAAGATCAGACAAAAATCAGAAAGCCTTAATTCCACAAGAAATAAACTACCACTTTACACAGCACAGAAAGTTCCTTCCAGTTAAACAACAAACAAAAACTAATCCAGTGGCATCTATTGTCATAGAAGCGGAAGGGCAGGCTTCAGTGAGGGCAAGCATTAAACATGTGCACGCCCTTCTAAGGGGATACAATCTCAAGAGCATAATTTCTTAAACCAAGAGGTTTGGAAAGCTTAAAGTATACAATTCCTCCTTAAAAATTAGTTCCCCCCCCTGTCCTGGTTTCGGACAACCAGGCCCCCTACCGACATTTAAGGAAAAAAGCATTTATTAGTGTTTTGCTATTCTCAGAGTATCCTTTATGTTGAATGACAGCATTAGCTATGCTGAGTGGTAACTGGTGGGACACTTAAAAATACTTACCTTGTGTTTAACTGCTGGCAAGGCATCAACCAGTGTCTGCAGCCCTTCATGATGTGCTCCTAGCTGCAGAAGACAGGTAGGAGTTAGAGAATCATTAAGCTGACATTCTACATATCTACCTTAATCAGTATTTTTTGAAAACAACAACAATAATCTAGAGGTATTTTGTCCTAAATCGGTTTTAACAAAATGAAAATAAAAAGGCATTATTACAGCTTATTACACAAAGTGATATTACCTTTAAAAACACTCCAATAACAGCCAAGCCGTTACCTTCCATTACAGCTTCTTCAAAAGTTGGGTACACAACGGCATTCCAGTGTACTAAATGTAACTGAAATATAAATGAATGAGAAATCAACATATTCACAGAGCACAGCAATGATATCAAGAAACTCGACTTTTGATCTTTGCCACGTTTGGCCTTGGCAATTTGGGACACTGTAGTGAGCTACCTCAGAAACCACACACCACAAAAATGAGGACCAGAATGTTATTGGAAAATAATGGTACTTCCCTTCTTTATTTTGCTTTTTTTTAAACAATAGCCAAAGACCCATAAACTACATTTCACACATATGAAAGGGATTTTGTCTGTGGGAGACTGATTACAGGAATGCTCGTTAAAGGCACAAAACTTAGTATACCTGGAACTGAAGGACTCTTAACAGGAAGATCAGAGTATGCTATTCTGCTAAGGAACATTCTCCTGCACATAACATAAGCTTCCTCTGCATTGCTTACAGCTCAATACAAGCATTCCCTTGAGGGGGTTTGTGTATTAAATAGATAGCCAGCACCAGTCCCAAAACTTAGTCATACAGTCTTGCCATTAATAACTATCTTGCCAAGCTGACAAGCATAGTTATGAACACGTCAACAGGAGATAAACATCTTCTCAAAAATAAGCAATAATAATTTTTCAAATTCTCCAGTTTTGGCATATAACTATGTTTATACCTGTCATACTTTCCTCTCCAAGCAACTTAATCTATATTTTTCCCCGTTAGCTCCATCCTTTTTATTGACTCTTTCTGCCTTAGTAGTTACTTAATCACAAAAATTTTGCTACTTTAATAATTGCTTACGAGTTGAAAACAGAAAATAAAGTGATCATGATAACCGCTATATTACCATAGAACTCTGCTGTGGATTATTCTAACGACTTTAAGAAACACACAAAAACACACAAAAAATTGTTGATAACTGGAATAAACTTCCTAACATTAGCCAAAGCTCTGGGGTCACAAACACAAGACAGTTACTGTATACAAAGTAAGAAGGACCAGGCTTCTTGAGTTACAGGTATGGGTGTGAGAATTAAAAAATCTTCCATTTTCTCTTTAAATATTTTCCTTAAAGAATATTTAGTATGTGCTTTGTTTCTCTGCAAGTGTTTACTAATAATAAAGTGATTTTAAAGCAGTAAGGATTGGGAGATTTGGAGGTCCACTAGAGACAGCAGCTGAGATGCAGTGCATTCACCATACTCCCAAGAAAACAGATCCTACACCTCATGTGAACCCCCAGTTTACTGCAGCTCAGAGGTAAAGCACTTAATTTTTTTTTAATTGAGATCTGAGCTTGCACATTTACCTCAATATTTGCTGTCCACCTGGTCTGCACCACATTAGCTGGGACCTGGGAGTTCATTAAGACCTGACTGGGCCCCCAGTCTGCTTTCTGTCTCATCCTTTTCCCCTTTAAAAGGAGGAAGGACGAGCAGAGTTGTGCCACTCCATCCAGACAGAGCTGGAATAGCAATGACACTTTGCTGCCTGCCATTGGCTTGTCGGGCAGCTTCCCCTGCAGACATTCAGGGAGAAGAAAACATTAGTGAAACTTGCACTAATGGGGCCAATGTTCAATTTTAAGCCCATGTTCTTCTCCAGAAAATACAGCGAATATGAACTTACTAATACAACAGCAGATGAGCTGTGGCACCTACCAGGTCTGATCCTTAACAGTAAGCTGCAATTCTTCAAATAGGGAGTTTTCTAGCCTGTAGTACAGTCACAGGCAGCCTGAGACCTAGCCTCCAGTCCCCACAAGTATTTGCATTGTTCAGCATTTTACCTCATACCTCTGCTGGGTAAAATTTACTGTCAACTGTGTGCTCTGAACCCCACTCGTTTATAGCTCCCCAATGGAAGTGGAACTGCTTTAGCCTGTATTGGTTTTCCAAGGGACCTCCAACAATTACTAAAAAAACAAAACAAGACACACATGTTAATAAACATGATTTAGAATTGTCCAGACAAGTAACACTGCAAGATCCTGCTTGAAATAAGTTTGCCGAGGGAAGAAATCAGCAACTATCTTAACTGAAACAGTCCCCCTATTGCTTGGCTACTTTTACAACTTACTTTGCTACGACAAAATTGTTCAGGCAAACACATCACACTTTCCCCCTGCTGTCTGAATGAATTATATCAAATTGAAGATAAGCTAAATAGTCTCCTCGTCCATCTCTCCTCAAGGGAATTACTGTTTTTTTCCAATTCACATCAAGTTTGGCAGAGTCACGGTGACTAGATGTTACATTCTATGCTCTTCTCTTTGAGCGGGCATGAGAGAACCGCCTTACCAGAAGAAACATGTATGATGACAAAGCAATAGATACATCTATTAAATGACATCCCAGCAAAGCCTCAGTATCTATGAAAAATATTGAAACTTCCCATGACAATACAAGAGTTCAAAAATCCAGTTTTGCCAGTAGAATCAGTACATTGTGTCAAATGTTCAGTTCTGCTTTTTTTCAAGTTACAAAAATCCAAACATACTATTCTGCTTCAATGCAGCTTTCAGACTGCATAACCCATGCTGAAAGATTTCGTGTACAGCCAGAAATATGCTAATATTGTGCCTACTGTAAACCGTTCAAGCTACACTCCACAAAGCATCTAAACGGACAGTCTGCCTATGCGTAAGATTCTGAGTTTATGGAAGCTTTAATGCACTTTTTAGCCACGAGTAAGCAGACATTCAGTCTGCTCTCCTGATTTCAGAAGGCATCTCCTATTTTGCAAATACTTGAATGAAAAAGTCTATGCCTAGTTTTCTATGTAGCATTGGTTTTTACTCATTTCCTCCTAACTGAAACAGGAACATCCTGCAAAGTCTTCTTGCTAGTTATTATGTCACAGCATCTGGTAAATGAGAGACCATGATTACTTCCAAAGAGCTAACAACAAACATGTAGCTGTAGAGACCCATTTGCTGATTTTTACTTAACTGTATGTCATGGTTAAATTTCATAGCAAACCACTGTATAAACTACATAAAGCCAACACGACTTTTGAAAAGAAGTTAATCACTTTAATGCTAAGGAGAAAGCAATGAGAGGCATTAAGAGCTTTTCTTGCCTTTTTTTTTTTCCTTGAAAGCCAGCCAGCAGTTTTGAAATTCTAACTAGATAGGCCTGCTTGTGATAAAAGAGAAAGCTAAAACAAGCTATGCAAATTGACATTTGATTAATTTCATCCACTGCTGCTGAACTGTTAGCATAAATGCACTACTGACCGTCACTAAAAAAATCATGATGGAGAAAGGTAACCTTCAGGGATGGGATGAAGATGGGGCCCACACTGCCAAGTCTTTCAGAATTAAAGTTTCTGTGCTCTAACTACCCACTCCTGATTATGTGATGATGCAAACCCACAAGTGACTACATTCATGTTAATAATCACATTCACTTGAATATTCACCTCACAAGTAAAGTTAGGCACAGGCACACGTACCTAGAAAATCAGGTTCCTATAGCGGACACTAGGAAGTGACAGGAAACAAATAGGAACTTACAGTCCCTTTAAAAGCAATTTTGCCATTTCACTTCCTGTCAATTTACCAGTCTTGGTAATTTCAAAACAAAATAGAAGTTTAAAGGAACTCTAACAACAACCAGAGGAAAGAATCACATCAGCTTTTTATTGTAGCCCTAGTTCTGTTTCAGCCTCATTTCCTTGCAGCAGGTGGCATTCATGCACACAGACAGGACCACGTTCTGTACATACCTTCCCCACACCCTCTTTCTTCTTCATCCTCCTGCTCTGCTCATAAGCAAACAACCCATGGCAACACTACCTTCATCTTTTGCCCAAGTCTTGTTTTGCCTCATCTCAGGAGTTGGGCATTTTTGTCTATCCTGGATGCACGTTTCATTTTGTCTGTTTCATCTTCTGTTTCAATTTTGTTGCTTTTTTTTTGTTTATTCATAAGCTTCCTTCTCTGGATGTCTATTATTGTTAGACAGAAGCTGACAGAAAGAAAAATCAGAAATAGCAACAGTAAAGAGAGAAAGGTGGAGGAGAGAGTCAGGCACTTGAAAACCTGACCATTTATGCAGCAACATCCTGTGATCTGTTGTTTCTTTGTCATTTTGGAGTCCTGTCACTGATCATTTAATGCCATCCTCCACTAGCCGTCACCACCCTTCACTGACTTTAATTCGAGGAAGAAGATGATGATGATAAGGCAGCCATCCCGAAAGAGGCAGCAAGAATGCTCATACTTACAGATTTACCTCAAGTGTTCAGTCTTACAGATGAAGCGGGTAAGATCTTTCAGACCTGTGATGTGCTCTGAATAGCCAGCCTCTAAAAGGCCAGCACCCCTCTAATTGACAGTCCTGATGATTCCATGCTTGCCTCTATGTCACAAAAACTGTCCCTGTGTATTTAAATGTTGTGTATTTCTTAAGCTCCTGCAGACAATTCCCCTCCATTATATCAATTCTTGCAGAAAAAAATGACTTTGTTATCCATCAAACTGCAAACCATTACCCTTTTCAGGAATGCATCCTCAACAGATAGCGGGGTATGGCTGTATAAAGTAAGAGACTGTTAAATTAAAAGCAAAACCAATCTAAAGTTAGTAAGTTAAAATCACTGATAAGCTAACAAGTGATGTCTCCATCTTAGCCTCTCCTCTAACCCCACTTCACTAACGCAATAGCAGTTTGTACTGTAAAAACAGACAAGCACTAGTTGGTTTCTTCGTTGCGTATCATAGCGCTCAAATAAACAAGGGCAAGAGTACTCCTTGGTTGGAAACTAATATTCTGGGTGAACAGCTATAAACAATAAAAACAAAAAAAACCCCACAAACGTCACACAAGCCCCTGAAAGCTCCACGCGTTCCACCACTACCATTTTTGCTGCATTATCAGCCTCTTCCCCAGCATCAACGAAAAATACCGGTATCGCGGAGACACAGCATTTGTTTATTAGCATGCTGAAAGCTTCCTTCCCAAGAGCATTACTAAATCCCTTACAAAGTTCTAGCATCTCTCATGGTAAGCAGTCACCTTAAACATAAACGACTTCTAATCAAACGGGTTCAAACTTGCCCAGGGTCCCTCAATTTTTCCCCCCAGGACAAGTTGAGTAATCGACATGAATCCCATGCTTCACAATATCCCTGACCAACTGCTACCAGTTCACCTACCTTTATGAAATATCTTCTTTATACATACCAGCAATATCTTTTGGTAAAGTCAACTTTTAAAAGGAACAGTGGACAGAAAAATCTGGAATTTGGTAGCAATATCCTGATTTTAAGTCACTTTACTCTATTGAGCACTTAAAAAAGATTTAGCTGCTCAGGTCAGAGTGCTTATTCACATTAAATTGCTGGAATGCATAATTTCATTTTGCATGCACGGACTCCTGCTTATACTAACAGGAACACACGCACCTGCTCCCTATGGTAGCAGCTCAGTATTACTTAATTCTCCAAAAGTTTATTGAAATGAGTATGTATGCTTTCCAACTGAAAGTCATTTTGCTGCTGATTATTTCAAATGCATTAAATGTATCTGTTTACACCGCAAAAGAGATAAGTGGCAGATTACTTTAATAATGTGTAATGATGGAATCTCGTTTAAAATTAAGTAGATACATATATGTATGACTGAAGATTGACTCATGTAGACAAAGCTGTAATATTACGAGACCTAATCAAAAGGCAGGGCATTAAGGCTTGTGCAAAAAGAGTAAGTTTCAACCTACAACAGCAGATTTGTGCACAACGTCCATGGTAATAAATACATAGTAAAAGTGAGGCCTATATAGAACTTCTGCATTACAATTCCCATTGCTGTAAATCCACGTTTAGCTAAAGCATTCGTTTACTGTACATTAATTTTCAACATTTGTCCTGAGGTTTTACATCATGCAAATATTTCTCCTCTCTAAACATTAATAAGACATTAAATAAATTTTTCTGAGTTTTGCTTACTTGATCTATCAGTAGAATCATCAAACTCTACCAGGAATGAATATCCATTGTTCCAGATGTGAAGACATGTTGTTGGGTCGTAGCTGATTTTCAGAGGCTTCAGAAAGGGGTCGTAAACACTGTCTCTCCACTGGATATTGATAGGAGACTGTCGGGTGCCTCCAGGAATTGTAAGTGGACTCTGCCAAAGTGGATGCACTGGAAGATGATGAAGAGAGTCAGGCTCTAATGCACGATACAGAACTTCCAACTAAATACTCCAGAACTTTTTGGCAAGAGAAAGTGCTTTGGCATATTGGCTCCAAAGGCTAATTCAAGTCAGCTGATGCACAGGAAAGTGAAAAAAAAAATACATTCCAGTTGCATGACTCAAAGCCACACAGAGAAGTGCAGTAATTTGACTTACAACTGTGTTGATACCTTTCTGCATTTGCAAAATGCTCTTCAAAGAAATCCTGTCCCCTTATCTGCCAGAAAATTGTTTTCCTTTTATTGCCAACTGATTTTAAGGTGGCTTCTGTTTTACAGCTTTGCCAGAGTCTCAGCACACCGCTTCAGCTTTCCTAATGCACCAGTACCATCAACTGATGTCAGATTGCACCAGACACAGGATAAGTCCCGCTAGAAAGCAAAAACACTCTCTTGAAGGTACTGGTCTTTTGCCTACGTGTGCTTAGGGGTTACACCACTAAGGGTGTAGTGCTCCTGAAGCACCCATACCAATATTGACCAAGACTACCTTAGGTATTCGGGACCTACAGCTGATCCCCACACCTGTAAAATCCTAAACTACCAATTTTGGGGGCAGTTTGAGCATCTCAAACTGGCACGAGCAGGGCAGATGTGTGAATACGGTTTCCACGGGATTTTATTCTGCTTAAAACCAGAACTAAATACCTGTATTGACTTGGGGAGCACTTGCTCACCTGCTGTCCCCCGACATCAACAACTCACAGACAAACGTTTTTTGTGCCTTGCCCATCCACTGAACCCAAAACAGAGAGGCTCTGAAGCACTGTGTTACTGGCAACTTCATTAGATACAACTGCTTGTGGTCTTTCACAAAGGGGGAAAAAAATAAATTAAATCTTTTAACAAGCCACTCACATGAGGGGCAGCTAAACAACTTTCCCCCTCGGTTTCCTCAGCAAGGGGCAAACTTTATCGGCCTGCACGTGGGGGCGGGGGAGCAAAATAGCCTCCAAAAGTGCCACAGCTCTCTGTTATTGTTAGTGCCGTTTCCTGATGTTTCAGCGGAAGAACGGTCACGGACAAAACCAGGCTGAACTTGGCGTCCCTGCCTCTTCTACACAAACTTTCGAGGCACCGGCAGCCCCCTCTGCCCGGGGGGCTGGAAGCGATGGAGAGACA